CCGAAGAAACTTTACAGATACAAGTCCTTTCTTAAATAAAACTGGTTTATTCTTTCTGAATACAACTTAGCGATACACTTAATTTCAACAGTCGCGCTCTAACAAACGCTATAATTCACAATGAACGTCTCACGTGCTCAACAATATTCTCTCTCTGCAGTTCAGTTACACATTACATTACCTCGCCTCAGTTCTTACTGGCTTATGTATACAAGACTACACGCTATGTTAGTATCTTTCCACCACGGGTATCTCAACCCGATTCCTAGCGTTGTAAGTCCGCAGACATATCGCTGTGCTACTGGGGGCTTATATGCATATACATGTATATTTTAACGATCAGTGATATAAACGAACACCTGGTTTCACTGAATATCTAAGGAAGGGACGTGAATGTTCGAGAAGGACGTGGCGTGATACTAGTCACGTGACCTCTGCTGACGCAACAGTATATAAAATTTACACTTTGGTATCCCCTATAAAGGAATAACAAAACACAAGATCCACAAAATTAGAGCATCGAGGATTTGATTGGGAAAGTAAGAAAGCAACTGACTCCGCTTGACAAATCTAAATGTGAGATTTAACAAAATTCACTCTTTTGAGAAATATTAAAAGAAAATGTAAAACTCTGGTAAATGATTACAAGGAAAAATGAAATATACAAAAATTGAACACAACTCTGAAAAATAAGAAATATAAACAGGGTAATATTTATATATATGAACATTCTCATTCTCACGAAGATATAAATGGAATAAAGCTGTAAATCATATTTGTTGGAAAATCAGTCTTGGCACTCTTAAGAATAAGCTAATCTTCCTTAAAAATCCAAGCCAACTTCTGAAATATACTGGTTTCTGGTAGTTTGCTTGTCACATTCACAATTCCTTGTATAATGTTGTTTTCTCACCAACATGCAACATTTGTACAGGCAGACTTGCATTTTGATGGCCAGCGGATGAAATTTATTTTTGCCATGGTTAAAACGACCTGGACTGGTACCTACCATAGAGTCTAGACAGCAATGGCTAAGCCTAAACTCCAACGAATCTCCTGATTGTGAACTGGAACATAGACACAAATTAAAAACACAACAACAACCTATAACTTAAAAAAAAAAATCAACAGAGTTGTACAGTATGTGACACTTGCCACATTCTGCTTACATTTATCAAGATAACTGTAATCTTTTTAAACCTTATATTAGCAAAATTATAATTGATTCCAAAAATATGGCAAGTAACCCCTGTATCATCAAATTACAGTTAAAAATTATGGAGCCAGAGAATCTACAATTAAATAAATCCCAAATCCAGAAAAAGAACAATCTTCCGAAAACTTTCACATTAAGAAATTTATTTTATTGTAATTTACTTATTTTGTTTTTCACCTATTATAAAGATGAACATTTTAGTTCAATATAAAACTGAAATAAAAAATTTTAGTGTCAAATTTATAATAAACTCTTCTTCAGTAACTTACACTGATGGACTGTCAATTTTCATTTATTTCTATATTTCTCAAAATTTAATTATCAAAGAAATAACATAATTATATCGGAAATGTAAAATTATGTCTGTGAACCATATTTATATGTTTTAATAGTAATTTTATTAGTTGCGTATGTACTTATGTCAAAGCCCCCCAATGGCACAGTGGTATGTCTGTGGACTTATACTGCTAAAAACCGAGTTTCGATACCCGTGGTGGGCAGAGCACAGATAGCCCTTTGTGCTTAACAACAACAACAAATTATGTCAATACAAGAGGGAATCCTCAATAGCCGTGGCACTTGAAATTATTTTAGGCAGGATTAGATTGCTTGTTTTGAATTTCGCGCAAAGCTACACGAGGGCTATATGTGCTAGCCGTCCCTAATTTAGCAGTGTAAGACTAGAGGGACGGCAGCTAGTCATCACCACCCACTGCCAACTCTTGGGATACTCTTTTACCAACGAATAGTGGGATTGATCGATACATCATAACGCCTCCACGACTGAAAGGGCGAGCATGTTTGGTGGGACGGGGATTCAAACCTGCGACCCGCAGATGACGAGTCGAGCTCCCAAACCACCTGGCCATGCCGGGCCACGAGAATAGAGTACATTAATCTATGAGACCTTTTTTTTTCCCTCATTTTATTAGCTGTATTTTTATACGCCAGAAATACCTAGCGTGGGAGGCCCTATACGGTATACCCAATTCGATTTTATTACTCATCAGAATCTCTACCACCCTACCCTGAAATGGAAATTATTTTAGGCAGGATTAGAGTAAATTAATCTATGATAATTTAGGCGTGGCCAAATTCATCAATCTGAATTTCTAATGGGTTAAGAGATGAAAGTTTTTGTTTGTTTGTAGTTATGCACAAAGCTACACAATGGGCTATCTGTGCCCATCCCACCACGGTTATCAAAACCCGGTTTCTAGCGTTGGAAGTCCGTAGACATTCCGCTTGGCCACTGGGGGCAGAGATGAAAGAGCTGTGTACTTGTTTCTATTTGAAAACAACAACAACAACAACAAAAAAAACAAAACAAACAGAGTTATTGTATGAGCCGCTATGCCGAGGCTACTAAAGCCATAGGCATCTTTCCATAATATTCAATCAAACTGATGATATAAGTTATGCAGAAGTCTCAGATTTTCTTAAAACACTTCATTGAATTTTCAAGTAAAAATTACTATATAAAATTTACTTACATCACAAAATTATTTTAAGAAATTTAAATCAGGCCGTATTAGTTTGTAATGACATTTCATTTTATTAAATTTGTTCTTGGTGCCGGCTTAATTATCCCCGAAAGGCTTCATCGGTACTGGATATAACAGATATAGTGTGATTAACTTATTGTTATACATTTTTATTTACTTTCACTTGTAATTTCGTACAATAACTTATTGCATGTGATGTTCTTTTCTTGTCATAATATTTATTTTTATTTTATTGCAATAAAAACTCCAAATTTCTCTTTGAGCTCTTGAAGATTAATGACAATAGGTATTGGATGTAAAACACTGATCTATATATGCATATTGTTTGAAGTTAAGCACAAAGCTACACAATGGGCTATCTGTGCTCTTTCCACCACGGGTATCGCAACCCGATTTCTACTGTGCTACTGGGGGCTTATATGCATATACATGTATTCAAACTCGATGACGAGGAACCCACTTTGAGACTAATAATGGCTGGAGACGGGTTGAATGGGTAATGAAGAAAAACTTTAATATAACA